CACAGCCTGTGCCGAGCGCTGCGTGGCCGCCAGGCGGCGCTGCGGAGCCCGCCGGAGCGGGAAGGAGACCGCGAACCCTGGCTAGAGCGTAGGCCGCGGGCGGGGTGGTCCTCATGAGACCTCGCACCCGCACCTTTGCACCGCTCTTGGGGTGGTATTTGGGAGTCCCTTCCTCTCGCTCCTCGCTCTTCTTTCATGCTGCCCTACTCTTTTCCACCTACTCCAGCTCCTGCTGTTTTCCCCTCGCTGTCTTACCCTATCCCAGAGGGGTCATTCCTAGCATCCCGAGCCCTATGCACCCAGAGCCTCAGCTGCCACCCTCAAGGCTCCCCGACAGGTCACTTCGTTTGCCACACTGACATGGTCCCCACATATTCATGTATTCATTCACTCCCTCCCTCCTTCCCCCACCCCACCCTTCCCCCTTCACTGATTACTTCCTTGAACCTACCCCTTGCCAAGGGCTGCCTATCCCACTTACCCCTGCCACAGATGGAGAAACTGAGACCAAGTCCTAGAATCCAGCAGCAAGGCCAACAGCAAAAGCCCAGGCCTTTCTCTCCATTCAGCACCCCACTCCACACACACGTGCACATTCATGCTCACACACCTGTTCCTCTCTGGTGGTGTCCTCATGCTGGGCTATTCTGAGTAAGTGCAGATTAGGGTCGTGTGCCTCAGAGACAGCTACAGGAGGATCAGCTGCTGAGATGCCCCAGCAAGCCAGCAGACCGCCAGGTGAGCCTGGCCAACACAAACGCAGGTGCCTGCCTGCACAGTCCTCACTCAGGGTCTGAGTGCATGTTTGCATACTTTCACTCCTGCTTCCACAAGAAGAGTCCACCTGCTCCGACTCAGGCACACCTGGGTATGTGTGGCACAGAGTTAAGCTCCTACGCAAACCAGGTGGGCCGGGAAAGAAGGTGGGGTGGGTGTGGTATTTAAGCAGAGTGGAAAGGCAGATGAAAAACCCTTCTCAGCGATGAACTCTTTGCTTTAGAAAACTCATAAAAGTTGTCCAGGAAGTGGGACCTGTCCCTGCGAGACCCTGCCCCAGACTCTGCTGCACATACTGGTTTAGGGGCCCTCGCCCACTGTAGTGGTGACCTGGTGCTGGTGCTTGTGCTCAGAGTGACCGCAAAGGCCAGGATAACCTGCTCACATCCGTTAGAAAGTGTGTCCAGCCCATAATATCCTATACACAGAGGTCTTCGAAAAGTTCATGGAAAATGCATAGTTTAAAAAGCACACAGGGATTTCATTTTTTGTACCAATTTCAATTCCATTTTTTCCACTTACTTTGTGAAGTACCGTTCTATTATTCTATTTAAGCTTCACAATAACTCCATGAGATCTATTAGACTCTTTGCTCCATTTTTCAGATGAGGAATCCAAGACTCAGTGAGCGACAGATTCTCACTTTGGCCGCTGTCACCTGGGGAGAGTTTAAAAGCAGACCACTGCCTGGGAATCAGAGATTCTGACTCAGCTAGGAGAAGAAGTGGTAGAAAGGTGTTGTTCAAGTCTTCTGTGTTATTCTTCTTTTTTTTTTTTGGAGAGGTTTTTGCTATAGGGTTCGTGCGCTCGCCAGAAAGACAGAGAGAGAGAGAAAGCGAGAAATCACCCCCCAGAGAGGATGGCCATGCTACAATCCCTTCTTCTCCTTTCTCCTCTCAGTATCTTGGGCACACATGCGCACACACCCAGCGTGAGTTTTAAGCCACCAGGTCCGGGACATGAACCACGGTCGACTACATGGGAGTCCAGCGACATAGCCATTACGCTAACTGCTGGTCCCCTGTGTTATTCTTTTTTTAACTTGATATTATGGGGCTTTTCAAACCCATAGAGACAGAAAGGATGGTGTAAGGTCAGCCTCATCAATTCATGAACAGTCTTATTTCCTGTCTACCCACTGCAACTCCTCTCCCCCTTATTTTAAGACGGATAGAGATATCATATTGTTTCACCTCTCTAGGTGACTCTTGAGCCCCTGGCTCAGCAGCAGCACCTGGTGGGGACACCTGCAGTACTAGTCTCAGTACAAGGGACATTCTGAGAGTGAGAGCAGCCTAAAGCCACACGGCACAGTGGGAAGAGCACAGATTTGAGATCAGACTCTCTAACTTTTAATTTCAGCACCAGCTAAGCTCTGTGGTTCAGTTTCTCTTGCCTCCAGTTTTCTCATCTGTAAAATGCAGACATTGATAACAACCTAATGG